AAAACATTCTATTTCGCCAAAAAGGATGTCCCTAGAAAAAGTAAAGAATGCATGAGCCTCAGTCGTCCCGCTAATGCGTGTTCTTGTTTGGCAGGGAAAGAGCTGAAAACGTTCTTTGTGCAAATAAAACCCAAAACGTACAACCCACAAGAAAGTAGAAGGTGCCTGCAAGTTGCTTCTTCGCCAAGTAGATTGAGGAGACTGATTTCTATCCTCTGGAGTGGCGGAACTTGCGCCAGCACGAGTTTCTGCACTTCATTCTTGTAGCAGTTCGTGCATGCCACCTTAGCATCAAGCGCACCAACAGAGAGAGACCTCTCATTAGCGGGTATTAGTTTAAGAGGCGAACCAGACTGAATCCGTCCATGTTGACGATATTCTGTTTCTTCTGCAGAGCTACCTCGACAACTGAAACGTTGCGTGTGTGTGTGTGTGTGTTTTTCTCGACAGTTGGCACTGAGTTGTTTTTAAGTATATGGTTCTGAGCATGGAGTTGAGATTCGGTTTTAAAACTGAAACCGATAGGAGGTGTTGCCATTATTGAATATTGTGACATTTTCCCAGCGGTGTGTACTCGCGCCTTACCATATATACTCGAGTGTACTGTGTTGCAGTGAGGGAGCGCCTTTCCTCTCCCACGCTTTTATTGCTTGGCCTAAGTAAATTGCCACAATGTTATTAGACTGTCCTTTGTTAATTTTCATGTTTATAAAATATGCGTCTGCTTGAAGTTCCGGTATTTGAAAAGAAGCGTAGTGATCAATTATCCCGGTTGCGTACTCAAAGTGACGCCATGGGAGTCAGCTTCCCTAGACGTTTGGCTGTTTAAAAGTTTAGCCTTATACTCCAGAAATGAAGTGAACACCATTTACAACTTCCTGTAACGGCGAATTAGAGCGCAGCTCTTGAGGAGGAGGGAAGGGTACTGAGGGGGGTCATGTGACCTCGGGGGGGGGGGGGGGGGTCACGTCGTGACCTCGGGGAGGGGGGGGTCACGCGACCTCGGGAGGGGGGGGTCACGTGACCTCGGGCGGGGGGGGGGGTCACTTGACCTCGGGGGGGGGGGGGTCACTTGACCCCCCCCCCCTCCCCGAAGGCACCCGAGGTCCTCCCGAAGGAACCCGAGATCCTCCCGAGGTCCTCCCGAGGTCCTCGGGGGGGGGGGGGGGGGAGCTCGCGGTTAGCCGACAGCGACGCCGCTCAAGCCGGAAACGGGCGCCTAAGAGCTGCGCTCTGAAACTAACCAACCAACAAATGGCAAAAAAAGAACAACAACAATTTACCAGGTTTTTTGTGTTAAGCATGCCAACATATTAGGCGCTGGAGAAAATCAGTCATCTTCGTTAGGTACTTTTAATCCGTTAGCATTAGTACCCACACGACAGAAGAAAAAAAAATTAGCGCCGTTTGTTTGCGGACAAAACAGTGGAAAGGGATTTGCGCCGCATAGATACAACACCTAGGAGGTGTTGGTAGAGAAGAGGAGAGCAGTGAAAGACAAATGCGGGAGGGAGGCGACGTCACGGGGCGGAAGCCAATGCGCGCGCGGGACGAAGCGAGAGGGAGGTGACATCCTAGGCCGGAAGCTGATGCGTCTGCGGGAAACCGGTGAACAGCGAAAGCAGCGTCAGGCAGCGGATGCCGCTGCTAAGCGTGCAAGGCGGGCGAACGTGACAGACGAGCGGACGGCTGGCCGAAATGCGGCGCAAGAAGCGGCAAGCCGACGCGGGTCTGCGTGCGACAGAGGCTGGGGCAAAACCGCGGCTTGGCGCGTCGGCGGAAAAAAATAAAGGAAGATCCATTGGCGGATCATTGAGTAATGCGTTAGCATCACCGTTGGGAAACGCCACACACGTCCCCCTTTGGGAAACGCTAACACTGACCCCGCAACGAAGCCAGAAAAAGAGGCAGGAAAAAATAGAGGAAGCAAAAAGCGTGTCAGTGTTAGCGTTTCTCTAAGGGCGGCATGTGTGGCGTTTCCCAAGGGTCATGCTTACGTATTCCCTAAAGATACACTAATGGATCTTCTTTTCATTTTTTTTAACTCTTTTTGTTCACGTTGTGCCCATCAGGTGCGCAATTACGCACCTAATCTCGCCACACCAATGTGACCAAAAAAAAAATTCGAAATAAAGACTTAATGCAGATTGCTGATTTTCTCCAGCTCCTAATATATTGATGAGCCTTACATAAAAAGTGTGTATTTAGCTCGGAATTTGGACTACATTTTTTGTACTGCAACATGGGACTAAACTTATGATGTGCCGGCGTTCATGCTTTGCACAAGCGCGGGGCTGCTAGTTAGAGATACAACGTTACTAAAACAATTCAGGCATTCTAGACGTTCGGTAGACAACATGCTGATGCAAAATGTTTCCAACATATTTCCCGGAGTACAACAGAGGACTCATTCAGGCCACCCAGGGATCTCCGACGCGTATCTTAACATCAGCATACGGTGCCTGTTGCAATCAGCGTGTGGTCCAATTCCGGCACCTCGGCGGTTTATGCTCGTACCTGCCGAACCGGTTGGACTTGACACCTGAGTCGTAATCAGGCTGAAACTAAAATCTAACAGCTCGAAAATCACCGCGTTCTTACAAGTAAAATGCCCGTATTCCATTCTGTATTTCTGCCAAAGTTTTGTGCACCAATTGGAAGCTGTAAAGTGCGTGCAGCGAGACGCCGTTATGAAAAATTGAGGTAGCATACATGCAGTTGTAGCCCTGACACGTTTTCTTAATGCGCAGCCATAACGTAGTGTAAGCCTGTTTAGCACGAGCTGAGCAGAGGCACAGTGGTGGTCTGATGACCTGCTTACAGTTGTGATAAGCAGCCATTACATTGAACCACATGTTGCACATCACCCTGAGAATGGCTAGCAAAGTTAATATCGCGAAATAAGCCAAGCTTGTTTTTGGCAGTCTAAAAGTTTTCTAATACAAAAATACTGAAGATTAATTTTGTCTAGCCGCTTTTATTTTTGCTTTACAGTTTGTTTGAAGGAGTAAACAACAATAAAGAGAAAGAAAAATAAAGGAGCGGCAATTACGATGGACTGGTGGAATGGCACCTTATTGTCTTCGTTTTTAGTGCTATACGTATAACTGTCTAATGCCAATATGCGCCCTTGCGCTCGAAATAACTTTAACAGTTTCTTTTATCGTTAAATTGTGAATACAGCTCGATAGTTCATTTGTATTCATTGTTCGATACGTCTGTTCACTTTGCTGTTCACTACATGCCAAGAGCGAGCTTTCAGAATAAGAATTCCACACATATTTAGCTAGCTCGCGTCGATGACCATATACGAACTCCTTATTCTTTTAATACTTTTAATAGTAGTGGAGTTCATTCCAGCTCACGCGTAAATGTGGCGTATAAAAAGAAATACTTAGGGGATTTTAACAGCACGCAGCATACTTCTGGAATCAACTCAGGTCATTACGAATTTGTTGTGCAACTATTTTCAACCCATCATAAAAACAATTACACTATTCTTTACCTAATAGCACATCCTGTACTTTGCTATTTAACCTCAGTCACCTACCATTTCCTTCCTTTAACTATCGAGCCAAAGGGCAAACGTTGGTTCACTGGCAATTTTCAGAAAATCATGTTGGAACCAAGTACAAGATATAGCCATTATTTTGTTGCGTACATACCAGATGCTGCTTGAGTTTTTAAAATTGCTTGCGGTTCTCAGACGTTGCTTCTTCGGGTTAGGGTTATTACAATGGAATTGTCTCTCGAGGACCGAATCGGAAATATCTAATGTTACTTGCATGCCGCCACTCTTATACCACTGATGCTTAGCAGATGTTTAGGAATTCGCACGTTAAGCTTGCCCAAGAAACATTCATGACAGATCGAAGGCTGCCATAAGGTAGCTAACAATTCTTATGGCAGTCTTGATTTTTATATCAATTTAGCTTGTAATTAAACAATTATTTAAAAAATGCATAACTAATAAAGATAATTCGCATTTGCATGTGCCCTTCGATGGTTGCCCAGCGGGAGAATGCAGAAACGGTATGGCTCGATGAATGAATAAATGGATGAGTATATTATACGTTATACCATATCCGTATAGCACGGGGTACCTTCATAATTTTTGCGCTGTCTTTAAAAATGAAATGTTCGAAAATATGCAAAGAAATGAACCACACTTGATTGAATGGAACAAAAGTTACGAAGCCACCCTTTGGTGGCGCCGTGATTCCAACCCAGTGTCTCTTAATATCCGGTCGGGCGACTACACCACATACAGGCGTACAGTTTGTGCGTGTACTATAGCTGCACAGGAAAACCTATATATTTTACGTCACTCTGTGGCAGCGGCACATTTCTTGGAGTTTCACGCGCCAATTGTTGGCATTCGTCGCGCGCATTTTGTTTTTTTCATTCTCTGCCCACGTGCAGTGCCCAAAGTTATCACGTGAACACACGCTTGTTTGTAAGCAATAGGTCATTTGTGGATATAAAAGTCAAACATTAAGGAATAAGCGCGAAATCACCTCGTGCATCTTGCGGGAGTTGATCATGTGCAGGCCACTGAAAGACTTCGGCTGCTGACTTGTTGCGGCTTTGCGATATGCCTGCGCTTCTCAGAACATACCGCACTGAAAGTTCTGTGATGTCACAAGGCATGCCAAGGAAAACTTCGAAGAAGCTCAAGCTTCTATGTATCTCTAAATCGACAATCCGTACTACCAATTTTGTTTCGCTTCAGCCTATACTTCGTCATAAAGTTCGGCATGGAAACCTGAAAAGGCGCTATGCGTTCAGTCACAAAACCTTCGCCGCTATCCCGCGCTGTTGTACGGTGTTTTTGGACTCGGAAGAATTAGAAAACGGCATGTAAACATACCGTTTCACGCATTCAGTACCCTGGATTTTAGGCCTAACCCGGCCGGGCTAACCCTAACGCCGACGGAGTACGAAGAAGCCTGCCGCTGCGCCCATCTGCGCGGGCAGAGAGCGGTTCTGCCCGAAGCCGGAGCGACACGTCCTGCCTGGAAGGAGCAAAAAGTTGCGCTGCGCGCGACTGACGTAGGGGCCTCCCAAGTTTCTTTCCTTCGCTGCAGAAAGCCGTCCTTTTACCGGTCCCTGGAAATAGGTCAGACTCGCCCGCGCGCATGCGCACTGCGGCGTCTGGCCAGTCCGCTGCTGCTGGTACCTCCTCGGTGGCCCGTCAGTTGGCAAGGGTGTTTGTTCCCTTCTTGGCCCTGCTGTGGGTCTCTGCCGCTCACGATGAACATCTGGATAACCCTGCTCGCCCTGATCGCCAGCTTGTACACCGGTGAGTTGTCCGGCCGGTGTGCGTTGGAGACCAGCGTGGCTCTTGTGCACGGGCATCGCACGTGCGCGTGCAGTCCGATTGACCATATGGTGTGTCCGAACTTGGAGGGTGTCGCGTTGGACCGATGCAAATTAGGTCGAAAACCTCGTTCTTCGGATACGCCGTCGTTTTTTCGACTCGCAATCTGCGTGGTTGTTTGCGGAGACTATATGGATGCCCGTGTTTTGTGCAGTACCAGGAGGAAGACCGAGCTATTGTTTTCTAGTTGTTTTTGTGGATACACTTTTCCGCGTAAATAGGTTTCTTGTGCGTCCTGTTTTCCTTTAACGACCGTTTGATGCACGTCCTGGAGTTGAAAATGATGCGGTTACTCATAGTGGAAGTTGAGTTTTAATATAGCGATGGAGTATGTTAAAACAACAACAACAACAACAACAAAAAACAGACTACCGATTTTTGTGTTGTACGCTACTTTATGTATTATACCTTAAAAAAAAAGTAAAGTGTTGATTCGTTTTTAAAACTTCATTTAACCATTTTGCGAACATTGCGAAAGTCGAATGGGGGATTAAAGCAGGGTACTGAGGGGTTAATTCTTTACAGTTTAGTCCCTGCGTAGAATTTGTAGAATTCGGCCGTTGTGCAGGAGTTAGAGCATTTTAAGTGGTTTGAGTGACGACCGCGCAATTTGTAGGTTAGGGTCTGGCACCAACCGTGCTTGCAACTTTGTGGCTGCTGTGTATTGCGGGTCTCGATAGCGGTCACGTTCGTTCCGTAACTCCTTCTGTGTCAGGCTTTGGGGTCGTGCCGTTGCACACACCTCGCAGGTATGCGCAACACCGATAGCCTAACGTTAATCAAGCAAAGAATTTTCGCAGCGGTAAAAAAAAAAAGAAGAGATCAGAAAAATATTATCGTCGGTAGATATATTGTGTTTTTGTGATCCATAGACTGTCCTTTGAGCGCGGTTTCTTGCTCTGAGCTTCCAAGTACTTATTTACTTGCACGATATGTTTAAACGAGAAAACCGGTGAAGCACCGCTTTGTTGTAAGTGCACGAAAGTAGCGGTTTTAAAAATACCCAATATGCCGTTTTTTCTTTGTTCTTTGCCTCGAATAACCATTACGCTAAGGACCTGAGTATGCATTCCTTGCCTGGAAAGTTTGTTTCGTCTCCATGAATGTTTAAACAGCGGCGTGACAGGCCAGTAGTGTTTCGGTGATGGAGGATAGAGGGCAGCAGTGTGTGCTATTATATTTAATGTAATGGCATATAAAACCAATATACTAACGTGTTTTTGCACTAACGTAACCAGAAAATGAAAAAAACGTTGCCAACATTTCCGCATATGCATTAACTGGACATGGCTGTTGAATGGCGGCAGCGTTTTTGCCCCAGATTTCATTCTAATAGAGACTTAATCGTGTACATTTAGAGGTTCTCAGAATTCGTGGCATGGTAGCAATCTTGGGATTTCCGGTTGTCTGACGTGCGACCTTTGAAATAATATCATTACTTAAAAGCTGACTAATTAAAAGTTGATGCAAGTTGATAAAAAGTTACTTAAAGTTGATGAAAGTTTAATTTACCCTAATTTTAAAGAAAGAGTGTTGCGATTTTTTTGGCGCTTGGCAGTGTGAAGCTGTCCATTGCTAGAACTCGATTGCGAGAATTTTTCAGTACCAACAACGAGTTCTTGAACTTTCTAATATGAGAAGGCTTGGGTGTTCTTTCTTTTTTCTCCTCGATCGGTGATTTCTCCTCGTCTTTGGGACGGTAATATGGCACCGAAATAATCACAGTTGATTTCATTTGAAGATTTTTTTGTCGGTAATTGCAGTCGCAATTTTCGAGTGAAATATCCTAGTTATGTTTTCTATGATACTTTTTTTATGGTGCGAGCTAAGACGTTCAGCGAAAAGGGTGCACGACTTTACATTATTCTTGTATATCCGCGGAAGTTCTTGTTTGGATAGTGGCGTCGTATGCCTTCGTATTTTAGTGGCTTCGCTGGCTTCGCCCGTTGGCACGAGGCAGCCATGAAACTCGGGACGAAACACCTAATGGCTTCCTTTTTGTAAAAAAATGAAGAAAAAGAAAGTAATGAAATTTTCCTTTTACTAGGGGTTCTGAATGCTGTGCCTTCCGCGTTGCCGCAAAAAGCCAGGCACCGCTAGTTCCTGATGTCAAGGTTAATGGGCCGGTGTTAACTGTTTTAGTTCGCTTACCTAGGCTATGGTTTCTGCGTACCGCGGGGTTGCACCACCTCCGCACTCTGCCGACGCTAGTGTCGCCTGTCTGTTGGCAACCGCGCGCATCGTTGGCTCCGTCTTTGCCGTCTACTCTTGTAAACACGCTCCATCTGTGACTTGGACAGTTGTTTAATAAGCTTTGTGAGGGGCCGGTGATGCCAACTCAGGACGGTGGTATTCCTTGGCACTGAACTGAGGATGTGACGAAGGGAAACTTAGATTGATGACAGATAATTGGTGCAAGAGCCTCTTTCTGTTTAATGAGTAAACCTCGTATTTTCTGTGCTGTAAATTAGCGTAATTTTTCATTCCGTCATGGTACGCTTCAGGCTGATATTTAAGAACTCCGGTGCAAATATTTGAGCGTATATATGCTAATAGCCAACATGATCGTTTTCCGAAACATGTTTGAAGAATATTTGTAAATGTTTGTTTATTTTTATGTCTTCTCAGCTGAGGTTAGGGTGTGTCGACAAGAGCAGTGGGCGGAGTTAGCCTCGCTTAAAAGCCTGCGCTGATTGTCCTGCTGCCTCTATCAAATGGAACTTATGGAAATCATGCTACTTCTTTGTCATAAGGTATATTAGTTCGGTAAAGTAGTCACAATGGAAATGGGGGAAAAAGAAGGGGTTTCCGATTAAGCTAAAAAAACAGGATGTGACACGTCACGATACTAGCCAAACTGATGAGATGACGCCAGATGCAGTTTTCCCGCTGCAGTTTTCTTTGACATACAATGGGCAATTACTGGAACCTGGGACAAGGCAAAGTCAATGACAGCTTGTCGTTTTACATGAAGGTCAGCCACGAAGGAGGTTTCGTGGCTTCTGAGAAAGAGGAAGCCTTCACATGATCACGTAATTTAGGAGTGGTGATATTTAGATATTTTGTGAACTCAGTTGGCAAAATTCTTTAGCAGTCCACCTGTACTTTCCCTCAACTTTGTCTCATGATTGTGCTTCATTGGTTTGTGGTTATCCAACGTTATTTAAATTCTCCACTTCTTAGTTAACGTGTTTTTATTATTAACGAAGACAATCCGAGGCAGTGGCATGCTGTGCCCGTGTGTATTTTTCTTTTCTCTCATATCCAGCAGCCGTAATTTATTCCAGAATACTTACAGTATGTCAAGAATTTGTCAATATCTTGTCAGTAGAGTCCATGTACTGTTCCCACTTCGTGTTGCTCTTAGCGGCGTGCTACTTTTTACCGTTCCAATAAAGGGCTTTCGGTGGGGTGCCATTTTCGGTGTTCGTGCGTATGGCGCGAGCTTTGCTAGCTTTCGAAAGTCATGAATATTTGCACGCTGGCTGTGTAGAAACACGCTGGGCTGTGGATGTGTAAACATTTAAACGATGTATAGACTCTTCCCCGTGCTTGTTTAGCATAATTAATTATGTCGTTCGTTCCTGCGGTATTGGCCAGGTATGAACACCTCTCGATCGTACGGCTCAAACCTCTTTATGGTTCGACTACGTGAGAAAACGCCAACGCGCGAGCGTTCGCCAAAGTCAACTTCTCGAAATCGCTTGTTAGTGTAAGCCGGACCAGAAATATTCTCTCTGCGTTCTAAGGAAATTTCCTCTGCTCGCTCTATGTTTCAGCGTTTCGCTTCGCTTGTGGCTGAACACGGATATATTTTTATCAACCCACGTTTCTTTTTTTCAGGAACGCCTAATTTATATTTCTTCTAACAGTTGGCTGCTATTGTATCCTAACTAAATGAAAGGGCGTAATTGTGATGCAGCCAATCTTGGCAGGAATATGTGGTTTAAAACACTGTAGATGGCAATCAATAACTAAGAAGAAATGTATGACACAAGATGCATAGCGTAAAATATATAACACCTCTTTTTGCGTTTAAACGTACGTTTCTTTAAGGACTGCAAATTTTATAAAGTCGGTCTACCTTCACCTGCGTAATTTTAATGCTAGTGTACTTGGAGATTATAGAACTGAACAACAAAAACGTTTTACAAATTAAAAAACAAAAAACAAAAAAGAAAAAATGTTATCGCACAACGAGAACCAAAACATATTGTTCTATACAATCAATCCGTTTACCAAACCGTAAAATGGAAGCATGTAAACCTGATTACTTTCTTGTGAGTTTCTAGCAGTGAGTCACAAACCTTCCAAGTTCGTACTTGCGTATGCGTACTGGTTCGAGAGCTACTCTCTTTACATATAAGACTTTCCCAACACCTCCATTTGCGGCATCGTGCCCCTCCGCATTTTGTTTTGCCTCACGGTACCTGCAATAAAATCACTGATATTCAATAAATGCATCCTATATGGAAAATTATCAATAGGGTTTCACTAAAAGATATTTAGCGAACGTAATTTCAGAATAATGAAAAATGACCAAAGTAATTACATAAAAGTGGTCGGCTCGCATTCCTCATTTTTAAAATTCAGTAACTAACGCATGTTTATTTTTAAGACATATTTTAAATGTAACGACAGTAAATAAAATTTAATCATAATAAAAAACAATAAACAAAAGTTTAGCATCATGCCTTTGTTTTTAACTAGCTCTAGCAGTTGAATAAGGGGTTTTAAACGGAACAGGCTGAAACATTTTATATTTAAAGTTGTAAACTTAATGAACAGTGAATTCTACATATGCATCGAGAAGGTGAACTCAGTCTGAATGTTTGGTGAAGACGCATGCTTCCTGCTCAATTCATCAAGTATTGGTACTTGGATGTGTTTTGAACTAAAGTGTGTTCCTGAAGTGTATTTTA